CATTTTTATGCATTATATTCTGTAATATTAAATTGATACCTACTTTGTAATAAATATTTTTTTGTGAGCTAATAAAATTAATAATTGTCTTAATTATTATAGAAGGAAATTTATTTTTTTGGATTATTTCACTATTCTACAGATTACCAATTTGTGTTTGTAATTTATGAAATGCCTAGTTATTATACAGAATATTTAGGAAATGTGTGTAAAAAAAAAAAATTATTATACACTTTTTTAAAAACCACCAGGTATTATATAGAATTCCTAGGCATTTTATATATTAAATATATTATATACACATTGCCGCTAACATATAGTTCTTGAGCAGTGAGTTCACTAGTTCAGAATTGGGTTAGGTTAACCACAGAATTTAAAATAAAATAAAATGAAGGGGGAAGTTAGTATAATCATTCTGACTTTTAGGATTCCTCATCATTGTGGAGTAAGTCATCACACTGTAATGAATGTGTTAAGTTTGAATTTAATGATTAATTGCATTGTATGAGTATATACGAAAAATGGTAAGACGTAAAACGGAGACAGTCCGTCAGCCTAAATTACTGAGTAATAAGTAAATATTATGATATATTTATGTTGCTATTTAAGTTATTTATTTTACTATATATAACTTAAAAGTAATACGGTAGGTTGAATTTGTCAAAGACATTGCATTTGGAAATGTCATTGTGTGTATGTATAAAATATAAAAATGTGCCGTGTACGTTAAAAAGTATCAAGTACCCATGAAAAAACAAAGTGACTTAAGTGACTAAAAACGTAATTGTTCATTTGGTATTTAATTTTGTCAAAATTTCAACTTAAAATGTTAATAAAAAAATGTGATTTTATAAATCTTCCGACGCACTTAGATTTAGGTTGAAGTATATACAAACTTATGAGAAACATATTGTATTCAATTTTTAGTGTTTACCTATAAAAATTGAACATTTTATAAATGTTTAAATACAAAATTTGTGTAAATTTTTGTAATTTTGATAAATGATGGAAACATTTGAACATGTTTATTGTTTATAACACGCTTATAAAAATTGAGAATTTACTCTCAGCTGTTTTTTTATTATAAGATGTTAACAACTCATGAGAAACCTTGTATTAAATTGTTAAGTTTTTTAAACAAATGAAAAATGATATAGGTATTGTAAATATTTGAAAAATTAAAAAAAATGTATAACATATAAGTATCTCAAAAAAKTCAAAATATTTTGAAAATTGTATTATACCTATATACCTATAAATTAGGCATATAAACATTTAGTGAAAATTTAGAGTATTTACGGTTATTTGTTTTTGAGTRAACAAAAAACAAGATGATTATGCCAAAAATTAGTTTTGCGTAAAATATGTATTCAACTTTTTCTCATATTTTTTCCAACAGTTTTAAAAATTACTGGAAATTTTTAAACCTTGAAAGTATCAACAAAGTTCACTTACTTACCAAAAAAATGAAAAATCGAAGAATTTTTGCTGTCCCTAAGGCCTAAAGATGATGACTGATGACGGACACGATAAAAATAAAACACATCATTGTGAATGATTGCAAGAATAGCTCTACTCAAAATCTAAAATTAGTACTAATACGTTTTTAAATTTAACGGTAGCTATTAGGTACCATATAGTAATTGGAATTATTAAAAATTATTGTATGGTATTTTATCATATATACACTTTGGTATTATGAGTTGTACATATGCCTACTGTACATATTATGATTATTGCTGTCAATATTTTATATTTCATTTATTYTTATATTTATGTATGTCGTATTCAATATTCATTAAATTTGAATATGTAAATGTGATTTATGCATTTTAAATTAGTAAATTATTTATAAATAATAAATGACTAACGATTCCGATTTTAAGGATGTCGAAAAATAGATATAAAAATAACTTTAATTTATCTCACCCAAGGTTGACTTTAATATGGTTTCGCGAATGTTTGCAACAATTGCCATTGATATTTATACTAACTCTTGACATACATATTCATCTCTTGAAAATAAACATAATTTGGGGAATTATATATTTAGATAATTTTTGTTTATTCACACCATACGATGTGAACAACATAAATATTATTGAGATGACCTAGTTATTACACTTAAAACAACAGCATAAAAAACTTTGTTGTACTGAACAGATTTATTTATAAATTACAATCATACATTTTGAGGTTAGTACATAGTTTTGGTAATTAAATACTCTCCAGTTGGCAGTATTCAGCACAAGACAATAAAGTATAAATTCTTTTGTTGGAAATAATTTTTATTAAAAAATAATATATTTTATAACTACCCTAAAGTAGGTTTTTTGGTGAATTGGTGATTGATATATTGATACATCGGGCGCATTTTAGAGTTGTAACCTAACCGACAACACCCAAACATTATGATTCATATAAGTTATTCAAATATTAACAAAACATAAACAATAGTTTCTATTATTTGTTCTTGTTAAAAAWAAATTATAATTAATTTTAAAAAGTTTTAGATAAAACTAAAGATATTACTATGATCAATAATAATAAATTAGTACCTAATAATAACAGAATAGTACACAACACAAATTTATTTTATTAAAATTATTATCTAACGTAAATTTTTTTTTGTATTCAGAAAATCTGAACTATTTAAATTAAAAAAATTTAATAACTATGCGATGGAAAAATATTATTTTAGCTCTGTATGTGTGTGTGTGTGACGTCATTGAACTGGAACCGCACCAGAGTTTTATTTTGTACTTGTAAATGCCGCTCAATTTACACAAAAATGTACCTTAAAATTAGATTTTTATTTCATTTTTTTTTTAGCAAAAAGTAAATGGCTATAATGATGAACTGGCTTTCTGTTGTACTGTTGTTGTTCTTTCAACATCATGTGTCGAAATGTATAATACAACTAATTTGTTCATTCATCAAATACCTATTCATTCCTTAAATACCTACTTAAGATTTATGTGGGTACCTTTGTAAAATGGAACTTTATTTAAACTGTATTATAAAAAAACACATAATGTATGTCCAAACAACAAAATGAGAAAATAAAAATATAGCGTTTAATTTTTTTTTTATACATATATATAATATGTATATATAAAAAAAATATATTAATAATTTAAATAGAAATATGGCACCAAACCATTTTTCTTAGAATTCAATACATTTAACTTACTTGAAAGTTAAAACAAACTTATTTTTTGCGTTGTACGATTCTTTAATATTCTTTGGTTAGTAGTGTTAGTAGTTATTAGGTTATAAATATTCTTCAAAGTGCATAAAAATAAATGATAACTCTAAAACAATGTATTTATTTCTCAATTTTGCTAGAGGTTCGATGGACGATAGTGTTGTTGTTGGAAGCCACCAACCAACACCGTTCGATAAGCAATCCTACAGGCTGCRAATGAATAAAGCTATTAAAGTTTTTTAACTTTTGAATTTATTGCCTTTTGAAATGCMTGTAAAATAATAAACAACATTATAAATGTATAGTATTTTGGACTATAGTTAGAAATTATTGAAAATTAAAATACAATATAGTAAAACATTAATATGGTGTATATGAATGCCATAAAAATATCAATATAATCAACTAAACTAGGTTGGTACATGAATTAATATTAAATATGGATGGAATTTAAAATGTAATGAAAACATTAAAACACTTCTACAAAAGATKATGTATTTAAGATATAAAAATTCCAAGAAATTATTTTTTCTTAGGCCCCATAAAACCAAAGGCCGTACAATTGTATAATAATATCAATATGCACATAGGTATACTATAGCTACGTACCTATAAAAAAGTTTATGTTGATGTTATTATTATTGATCCATCATTGCCATTGCCAAATGCCAATTGCTATATATATATCTACGTACCATCTACTCTCGCTTATTTCCTCGGTCCTTGATAATATTATTCATATTCGCATTAGAAAACAACGGCGGCTGTTACATATTTTGTTCTAATAATAAATCCTGTTACAGGCGTCACGCTTTGGCCGATTAGTCAGCGCCGGTGGACGCCGAGTGCACACCACTCGACGATCGTATCCCCTCTTTATCCATGTGTATGCTTATATATAATGCTATTTTATTTAAAACATTTTAGTGACTACATAACTTTGGTTTCAGACATTCACAAATAGCTGAACCGTTCGCACAAACCACAAAACGCAGGGCTATCTTAGCAGTTAATCTCCAACAGTCAATTTACACTTAAATAAAATAAACATGGTTTACTCTTCCGACTTTTACACTTCCCGCAGACCGGCGTACTACAAACCAGCCAGTTCTTATTCAGTCACCGTAAGTGTTTTTGTCGTTTTTTTATATGATGTATACCTAATTATTACTATTAATTAAAAAATAACTAAGTTGTGTCGTAAYCGTAAACGATTTGACGATGTCAGTAGATGGTAAACTAACGTCATCAACAATTATCTTCCGACTACTAAGTCACCTGCTGTGCCATCTTAAGGGTTATGTCTGAAGTCTATGTCTTTATCACGCATAATATTATGAATGGCCAATGGCCCTAATGGACCCCGTATGATATCTTCTATGGCATAGTTTTGATTATTTGAAAATAATTAGTTTTATCGGTAAAATGAATGTGTCGTGAAAACTAAAAAGTTCCGAATTGCAATCCGAACATGTTTGTCATATTTTGGCACGGAGGCTCTATAAACCTTACGACGGCACTGCTTGAAACTTTCATTAACAAATAAAGACATACTTCCCCAGCTCACAAAGTAAAACTTCATCACAATGTACTGTGTAAACTAAACTGCACTGTGCAGTCATGCAATGTCTTGATATAAACTATGAATTCTTTGCGAGGGGGGTAAAATATTAAATAGCCGCATTGAAAAAAAAACTGTACATACAATATTAAATATTTTGTATTTTAAAATATAAACAACCTATACTGAAAAATGTTTAATATTCCACTCACATTCATATTTCACAATTGGCTGTGGTGGAAGTATGGATCTAACGATGACATCAAAAGAAAATACTAATAATTATATACTAAATGTGTTTGTGTATGTTCGACAACGATGACGACCATAATCTATTATAAGTTATATTACATTATTAGTTATTCGTTATAAAACAGATTATTTTGTACCTCAATAAATCGTATTACTTATTACTTATTTGTTATTACCAACACCAAGCACCATCAAATTATGTCCATGAATCATGGGTATATTTTTTCATTCGTTAATAGTTTAATACTTATTTTTGTACATTATGCTTATTTATTTTAAAGTTTTGTAGAATGTTCTCGAGTGTATAATTTATGCGTACCAATATTTGGCGACTTGACCATTTCTGGGGCTCCGTATTTATTAATAACGCTAAAGCACAAATCTAAATTTAAGTTTGTAAATTCTTTCAACTTTATTTTTTTTCACACAATAATTATCGAATACATTGRTAAACAGAGTTATTAAAAAATTATATATAGAATATAGATAAACTTTATTTTCTCTAAGACTTTATAATAATAATTGTTACCTTTATTTTACATTACACACATATTTAATAATTTGATACATAATGGAAATTCTTTGACTGCATTGATTAGAAACAATTTTATACATTGATTTACACTCGATTATTTTTATGATATAATAAAATTGTGTTAAACTAATTTTTATCCTAAATGTATCTAGTATCTACCTAGTAATTTTGAGATTGAATTTTCTTTTAATTGTTCGTCACTTCGTTTAATATTGTAATATTAGTCAGAGTTTGTATTTACAAAATATTATTATATATTTTTATTGTTTTAAATAATAATTTGTTTTATTATTTCAAAATAATATTTTATTATACTAATTAAGTATTTAAGTAGGCACAATATGTTGATGTTGTGGAATATTATAGCAACTAGCTGTTAACTTCTTAATTGTAATAAATCATATATAGATTTAWAAAATATTATATACCTAAGTTATAATTATATAATGTGTTACAAATTATTTTTAAATTTAGCTTGTGTACCCATGACCCATGGATATTAAGTTTTTACACTCTAATTATTGTAATACGGAAATTGATGTATCACTAAATACATTAACCGGTCGTTTGTGTAGCCAACATATACACACGCACATTTTAGTCATAACTTAGATACCTACTATGTACTTATTGAAAACCGATTAAATTCCAGTTTTTTGCATTTTGAATACTACATAATATATAATAGGTATAGATATACTTATCAGTGTGTGTGTGGGTGTGTGTGTGTGTGTTATAGTCAGAACGCCACCAAGAACACGGGCAACCCAAACCGGCCGCGTTTACCAGAAACACGGTTCGTGTACCGTGGCACAAGGTCCCCAATGTCCCCCGCCCCAGTCAGGTCCCGTTGCCTTACCTAGTGTTCGGGAGAAGAGGCGACGTAAACCAATTGCAACGGGAGTTCCTCGGGGCCGGCAACGAAACAGACGTAGAAACGGAAACGAAAGCGTTGATTAAATCCGCTCTGGCTCGCAGACACTTGCACGAAACCGAAACGATACCTTCCAAGGGTCGCCTAAACCACTACCGGGTGGACACTGAAGGGCACGAGGGGCACACTCGGCGCCGAATACTGTTCAGCTCGTTGCCGCCCACGTTTTACCGATATTAGAAGTTCGGACAGACGACGATTTGCCAAACAATGTTTATTATAAAATACCGTTCCTCGATTGATAAATAAATAACAATAATATTTACGATTTTCACGCGTTAGGCAGTCGTGTCGTTTTCTATACTTGTATACATTTACTGCAACAATAATAATATTATATTTATATWATAATAATAATAATAATACATTGGTAAAAGGTGTTGGTAATAATATTACGTACATACATACATACATGATACTTACAATATACATACATACATACATACATACATAATACTTACAATATACATACATACATAAAACGAAACATATTATTACTAATAGCCGGCGGTGTAGAGGTGCAGACACATAATTATTGTATTTTATAATACAATCGTTAAAGACATACGCCGTGTTGACAATAATTTTGTACAACACGGTACCAAGATACCGGAAAAATGTTGTCAATTTGTAACATTTATTGCCTACGGATATCGGGATGTTTTTTATTAGATATTAAAAACAATTATATTTAAAAAAGACAGTATAAAGAAATGCGTGACGTGCGCGTTGTGTTTTATATGTATATAGACGCCCAGCAGATATTCTGTGAGCTCGTCGTACAGCATACCTGCAGCGCCGGTTGAAACAAGACGACAATATGAATACCACACTGAGCAACGCATCGAGTCCTCCGGACGTCCGGGCTCAAGCTACTCAACAGAGAAGGTAACCCGCACAAGTTCCTCGTCCGATGGTCGTCCCGGAGGTTACCATTCATCTTATTCATCAACCACCAGTGGTCGCTTGCCCGGAGGCACTCCCACCTACCGTCACTACTCTTACCGCGTCTAATTTGTAGACTGGAAGCCAACAATCGAAAGAAAAAAAATATTATTACATTACCTATAGGTATATAATAATGTTATTAGGTGTTGTTATACCTAAATGCAATCATATTATATTACATGTATAGGTGCACGTATAAATACTAATTGAAAATATACATAATATGGAAAAAAACTACGGTTTTATATAACAATATTTACACAATACGCACGCACGCATTTTTAATATTAAACTATTATATATTAAATTTATAATTTATAACTGGTATATAGAATCTAATATAGTTTATTTTAYACAGTTAGTTAATTTTAATATTGACACACGAAACATATTACAAATAACAAGCACGTTACAAAACCTACTACTGCTATTACTACTAAATTAATTTTTTTAAATATAATAATATTATATAATTTATTTCGATATTGTCGTTATCGTTGTTGTTGTTGTTATTGTTAAAAATAAATATTATTTATTGAAAAAAATATCTCATTATGTGTTAAATATTATTTTATTTTCAACATTTTTCCTACAAATKAATATTGTTTATACTTGATTACAGCCAATGTATTCGTCTGATGGCTATGATTTGCCACCTACATACTATAAGGTAATTATTAATTGTCTGATATTATATTTACATACACAGATTATAATATAACATCATTGAATAGGAATTAGGAAGTAGGAATATGTTTTCATGAAAAATTCATAACTATTAAATATGTTCAACCTATTGTAGTGGATATAATGTTCTGATATATTATGTTCCTGAATATAAATTATGTAATAATAAAAACCTAAATATGAAAAATTTTCTAAGCCTAAATTGTCAAAAAAAAATAAAAGTAATATCTTATAGGAATTAATTTCTTATTTATACATTTTCTTCCGACTATAGATATTTCGATTTCAATAACTATGCAAAACGTTTATTWCTGTTTCCCTGCATTTGTATACAAACTGTCCTGTCACCAAAAATATTAAAAATATTCTAAAACYAAAAAATACTTAAACTTATAACWCATAGAGGCAATTGGAACTATTGGAAGTAATTTTTTAAAGCGTAGGTCATATTAAAAAAAAAAAATTAAGCTACAACTAAATAAAATACTTTAACACTACACTGATATGATTGATCATTTATATAAATACATAGGTAATAAAAATAAAAATAAATAAATATATTTTTGCACAATAAAATTGCATATTTGTTTTAAAACATAAATTATGAGTCATACACTTTTAAAATTTAACAGTTAATACTCAATAGTCAATACTGTACTATTAGGTATACTAWCTATCTTCTACTATCAGTATTATACAGGTTAGGTATATGTATACTCATAGGCGCAATTTTAATAAAAAAAAACTGAGGGTGCATAAGCTATGTATATTCTCATTTTAGTTATTTTGTTTTGTAAGAAGTTTTTGATATACAACACGAACATTATTTGAATGTGCTAGTTTTAAAATTGGGGTACCCTATAAGCACCATCCCCCCATTTGCGTCTATGTGTGTAGTGTATAGGTACATATAATACWAGTACCTATAATAAATATAATATGCAGTATCCATATTTTTTATTCTGGTTCAATGTGGAAATATTATGTTCTATACGTGGAGAGGAAATCTAAACTCAAGTATTATACGTATCTTGTGGATGGAAAAGAATTGAGATTTAAGAGAACGTTAGCAATCACGTGTAGCTTCGTTAGCATAAAAATTAGTGTGAATCGATATCGATTTCTTATGAAAATTGTTAGTAAGARCATTATAATATGTGTTTGTATATTGGTTTTCTACGATGGTTCAATTTTTTAGCAAGTTTTGTATATTTAATATAACTTAATATATTAAAAATATTCATAACTCACAAGAACAGAATTATCACCAAAACTCACATACAAACACAGATATTGTTCTTACCATCAAGTTTTAWAAGAGATTGATCTAGTCTAATTTAAACTAACGAAGCTAACTAAACTAACTACATGTGATCTGCTGAGCGTAAATTTACCAAGTTGTCATACGGAAACAAAATAAATACGTCCTCTTGACGGTAAAAGTAACTTTTGTAAATTTCTAACATTAATTTAGATTGGTAACTATATTATACGCATATATTAAAATTTCAAAATATAATCGTAGTTTTTATTTTCTAGAACATATTAAAAAAATAACTATACCTGGATAATTTTAAGCAATGAATAACTTCAATAGGTAATTAAGTTAGSTGTTAATTAACATACATAAGCTTTGAAGAAGTATTGGAAAGGAGAGGGTAAATTTTATTATTAATATATTTTTTTAACTTTATTCATTACAGTCATTAGACAATATATTTATTAGTTCACAATCTATTAGTTTAATATTTACAACAATTAAAAGCATTTGATATTAATTATATCATTTATATCATTATGTTATGTATTTTATATAGGTACTATATACATGAAAAAACAACCACACAATGGCAAAATGTATTGTTTTTTATTTGTATACCTAATTTGGTACCTAATATTTTAAATACTAAAAAGTACATGGATAAAAATGATGTTGCTATTATTGATATTTAATGTGATGAGTTATATTAATTTTGGCTGGAAGCCTGGAAAATTGTATTAATATGACATTATCATTATGACGTATCAGGTTACTGTCTTCTAAGTAATTATAATATGTGACGTCATATACTTATATATAAAACGGCATCTATTATGAATGTAAATAATTCAATTTGTTTGTAGAAATTCGTATAAATTATTTATAAAAATAATAGACATTTTGCTATAATATTATTGTCTTAGTGCGTTTTTCAGATATTTTTAACATTTTGTCTGTCACCTTCTTCTTTTATTTAACTTTTTATAAATAATAATTAATGTTGGTTGATTATCCAATACTTAAATGTTAAAAATTATAATTTATAAAAATGTTACACCTGTAGTTTTGGATTTAAACTATATTTTCATTAAAAAAATTAAAAATTCTTAGATTCGAGTTAGGTAATTTAATAATGTTTTAAGAATATTTTCTATAATACATAGATGGTATAAAATAATTTACTTATGATTTATGAAAATTAAAYAAGAATTTAGTAAATAATCAYCCTATTTAATTCATAACACAACATTTGAACATGTGATTTGTATTCAATTCATGTTTACTTAAAACGGCATTAGTATGATGTATTATATTATATAATAATACCTATATAAAATAATATATTATGTAATCATATATTGATATATTTTACTATATTTCAGTTAAAATAGGTAATGAAACGTAAAAATGTACTTTATGGACCTAGGTAGGTATCTACCTGTATCTAAATTTCATAAATTAGAAAATTGTTAATTTTAAAACTAAAATTTTCTAAATATTATTTCAATGTTTGCGTGCATAATATGATACCTAGTAGGATAGGTATTTCATAGCTCTATATTATTCTTATATAGCACTTATATCTAATAGTTTATTCTGTTTATATAATATTGAAGTAGGTACCTATGTGGCTTTGTTAATCAATCAAATGAACTGTATACAATAATCATACAACAATAAAACAAAGATATTTTTAAGTATAAGAAACAACTAAATACTAACATAGTTAAATGTCATGATGTACTGATTTAGGTCGCCATTAGTCACGACACACGACTTGCTAGTGTTATTTTAATAAACATACATGTATATGAAAATATGGTGTTTACTGTAATTCTGTAAACTGAATTACCTACTGAAGCATATTTGATGTCATGCCAGACGACACGTCATACACTATTATACTAATTTTCATGAAAAACCAACCATTGGTATTTTTTTCTTTTAATTTTATTTATGTAATTAAATAATTTATGACATTTTTATGGGTAATAATATTTTCTTATTGTACTTAGCTATTTTATTATATATATATATATATATAATACCAAATAGTTCATAATTATCATAAAAAATAATTCAAATTAGTTATTCCTTTCCATTAAGTGAAAAGAATATGGACGTAATTTACATGAAATCGATGTCTATAACTTTCATGAATTTGAAAAAAAAACCAGATTAATGGATATGTGTATTTATTTGTACCTATGAGAACAATCAAAAATTAATATCCATGGTAAAAATAGCCAATATATAAAAATCTAGGATTATAAAAACCAACCAACAAATAGAAAATAATTATAAATTTAAAAAAAAAAATAGCCAGTTCAGAAAAAATAATAATAAAAGGTACTATTAACTGTCCGGTATAAATTATAATGTATAAATATATAAAATAAATACAATTATAATAATATATGACTATGTAAGTATTTAAAATATTTATATAGAAGGAAAGAACAACATCTTTGGTCATACGGCTATATACGTGTGTTGTATTTGATTTTTGAATCTATATCATACTATTTGTATTATAAAAAAATATACAGTACCTAAGCATAAACAAGCCAGTAGCTTTATCATGCAATTTTATCAACGTTTTTATTCTTCAGAATGATATTGTTATAAATTATTATTATCTAATAAGTATTATCTTTGTTAATTAATGAATATAMATGTGTACCTATACTAAAATAAAAACAAACGTGAATACCAATATAATGGATTTTTTTATTTATAGTCAGGGGGTATAGTAACTATTAAATATTATGCAGAAATTAGTTTCTACTTTTCTGATGACTATTTTTGAATAATTATGATCATAATTTCGTATGCAGCTWGGGTAATTTAGCAGTGCTTTAAAAAAGTGTATAATATTTAGTTATTATTTAACATTTCATCTTACTTATTAAAGTAATTATAATTTAATTAACTATAAAAAAAATATAAAGGGTAGGCATAAGACATTATTTTTAATGTGCAAGTGTCTTAAATTAAATATAATTTTATGCGATTTATACTCACATAATTACATATAAAACAATCAATATTTGTATATTATTTTTGATTTAAACTACCTATATAATACATTATTGACATTTAACAATCACTAATAAAATAATGTTAAATTTTTATTATGTTGATACCTACCAATTATCAACAAGCTATATTTTACAACTTTTTTTTTTAAATTGGATTTTTTGTTTTATTCTTTGGCGAACCGGGATTTTAGATCTATTAGATATTTTTATTTCTATATTATACTACAATTTATTTTGATCTGTAATGTAAATTGAACAATGAACATATTACCAATTTAAAAATATTTAAGTACTTAAGTTATATTTCAATGAGTTTTAAAAATAAATACACCTTGTACTTGGTTTATGAAAAGTTAATACTTTTTGCATGCAATATTATCATATAATAATTAACTAATTAATATTCTAATAACTAATCAGGCGCATCAAGTATATCAGACGAGTACTACGCCTACTCCATTTATTTTGACACCATCCATATCAACTGGAAAACCATCTTCAAAAGTTTTACCTTACAACGGTTATTCTTATAATCACCATCATTACGTACCATTACACAGAAGATCCGCAGCTACAATTCATGGTGTTTTAGATAGGATAGAACATCGTCCACGATCCCATCCATCGTACGATCCTACTGACGAGTTTCTAAATTCTAGGAGTTCTACAGTAAGAATTAATTTAATTGATTAATAATGAATATTAAGATTTATTTTTTAATCAACGCTATTATTTTGATGGTTTTAGAACTTTGATGACGTTACGAGAGATATTCGGGCTCAGACTGCTGGATTGCTTAAACAAGTATATACTCCTACAATCAGACCAAAAGTATCTACAGTGTCTAATGGATATAGTGAATTACCAATAGCGCAACGTATAGAATCTGATGCTTATATTGAAAAAATACTTTCTGACTCTGATTCTTATCGCCGTGAAAACAACATTGGTATAATATAATGATAATAATAATTACCATTGTTATTTATTATACAATATTAATTACATTTATATTTTCAAAGGTAAAGGACATTTGGCTTGTGTGTCATATGCTGGTGGCAAGGCATACCCAAGGAGAAGGCCTCATTTGTCAAAAGAAGTTGACGACAATATCACTATGTTGTCATAYTATAATAAAACTAGAGAAGCTGTGGCAGCATCTTCAACAAACCCAACAGTTAAAATAAATAGTACAGAAAATCCAAAATATTATCAGAGTAAAAAGTTAGAAGATGATACTAAAAATAATTTCAATAAGAATTTAGCAGCTGAAAAAAAAGCAGCTCAATCACATACTGAAGAGGAGGAAGCTGCTAAAAAAGAATCTACTAGATTAGCAGCAATAGAAGCAGCTCGGTTAGTGGCTGAACAAGAAGCTTCTCGGATACTAACTGAAGAGAAAGCGGCTAAAGAGGAGGCTGCTCGACTTGCAGCTGAAGAGGAAGCAGCTCGGCTAGCAGCTGAAAAAGAAGCAGCCCGGTTAGCAGCTGATGAAGAAGCAGCTCGGCTAGCAGCTGAAGAAGAGACAGCTCGGCTAGCAGCTGAAGAGGAAGCAGCTCARCTAGCAGCTGAAGAAGAAGCAGCTCGGCTAGCAGCTGAAGAAGAAGCAGCTCGACTAGCAGCTGAAGAAGAAGCAAAACGACTAGCAGCTGAAGAGGAAGCAGCTCGGCTAGCAGCTGAAGAGGAGGCAGCTCGACTAGCAGCTGAAGAAGAAGCAGCTCGACTAGCAGCTGAAGAGGAAGCAGCTCGACTAGCAGCTGAAGAGGAAGCAGCTCGACTAGCAGCTGAAGAGGAAGCAGCTCGATCAGCATTAGACAAAGAAGTTGAAGAAGCTGAAGAAGCTCAACAAGTACAAGAGAATGAAATTACAACAGAAGGAAAAATCGATCAATCTGAGCAACAAAGAGAACTTTCTGAGAAAACTAGGGATATAAGCTTGGACACCCAAGAAACTAATGCTGCTGCGATTGCAAAATCTTCAACTACGTCCACCTCCACTGAAATAATTAACGAAGATGAAGGTGGAGTTAAAACAACAGCAGTATTCCAACGAACAATAAAAAAGACAACTACTATAACAAGTAGCACTTCTGTTGTATCTGAAAACGGTGATGATATTAGTTCAAAGGTTGAAATACAGGAGATAGTTGAAGAAAACGATGACAGTGACGAAGACGAACATGACACCGAGCATCAAGATGCTGCTCAAGCAGAAGGAAAAGAATCGTCTGAGGAGGAAGACGAATCAGAAGAGGAAGAAGAGTCCGAAGAAGAATAAAAAAGTTCATTATATTAAAATACATTTTTATTTTTATGATTTATATCAAGAAATATTTTAATCATTTAAATATTTATAGTTTATATAGGTTAAGTTTCTATACACAGTGTTTTAATTGTTAATAATGTTTAAACTTCAATATTGTCGTTTTATTATAAACAATACACTTGTTTGCATTTAAATAGTATAACATTTAACATCCTCAGTATTGTCATTATTTTATTTATTATAAAATATACATATATATTATGTTTAAATTATTTAAACAATGAATTTGATAGTACCTCAGAATAATATAATATACATTTCATTCTTTCTTTTAAATTTTAAGATATTTAAAAAATAGACAACAATTATGGTATGTATATAAATACAAATACAGTACAGACTACAGGGCTTAACAGTAAATCAAGAAAAAACYAAAGTAATGGAACTATTGGGAAACGACCATGAAATATTTGCAGTGGAAGGATTGGTTTTTGAAAAAGTAAACCAGTTTTAATACCTTGGAGCTACCATCAAGAGTAATAATGACTAGAGCTTAGAAATAGTAAACTGCATACACAGAGCGGAAAATAATTATTATGCACTATTAAAGTATTTTAAATCCAAACTATTTTCGAGAAGGACGAAATTAAGATTGTATATGGCTGTAGTTAGACCAACGCTGACGTATGGCTGCGAGGTGTGGACGATAACAGCGCAAATGGAGAAAAGGTTACTCTCCTTCGAGAATAAGGTAYTGAGAAGGATTTKTGGTGCGATATATGATGACGAATTGGGGTGCTGGCGAAGAAGGACAAACGCAGAAATCCGARAAATTACACAAAGCACGAAGGTAACCAACTACATAAAAGCACAACGACTGCAATGGTTCGGACACGCTATGCGAAGGGATGAATCGAAGACTGTAAGGGCAGCCATAGAATACCAACCAAGTGGGAAAAGACCGAGGGGTAGACCAAGGAAGCGATGGTTTGACGGGGTAAGACAAAGACAGGATTTAAGAACACTGGAAGTAGAAGATTGAAAGGATATAGTCCAGGATAGGGAGAGATGGAAGGCTTTGACAGTGGCGGCGAAGACTCTTGGAGAGTCATAAAGCCAAGAAGAAGAAGAATATAAATACAAACATACCAGATATATGTAGGTACCTAATACCTACTACCTACATAATATATCGTTGCAAATTTTTCAAAGCTATTTCTTGTTGAGGGCAGATTTGTTAAGTCATCAAGACGTCAAGTGATGTAGGTAAATATGTAAGCTAACTAATTAGTAACACACTAATATTTACYTATTATATTACTGTAATATAATATATATTATATTATATTCGGTGAAATAGAGTACCATTGTTTTACGTGAGATTGATGGGCGGAGGAGAGGAACTATTAAGAGTGTTAGGTCAAGAGGAAKAGTACCTTAAGTCAACTATAATCTACATTTCAAAAAGTTCCTGTAGGATGAGACCCTATGTTGTAACATTGATGTAATATGGTACTTAAAGCAGTTATAACAGTATTAATAATATCATAGAAGTGGTAAGACTATTTCAAAATAACATTTTTTTGAAGTGGATAGTTAACGCTTAAAAATCTATAAAATGAATTTTATTATATGGTATTATGGTGGATTTATGCCCGTTTTTTTTTCTTTACCTTAATAGTTTAAGGGGACGTTGTATTACATTTTCAAGTTTTTAATTCAGCGAAAAATGTTGTCTCGAAAATAATTAAATACAAATATATAAAATTCGGATTTTTCTTATGTTTTTCTTATGCCTATTAAAGAGCAGCAATATTCTGAAAATTTTATGGTGCATAGAAATCAATTCTAAAACTTTCAGTGAAAATTTCATGCATATAAGGTTATTTTTTTAGAGATACTAAAATCTCAGTTTTTTCATAATAGTTTTGAAAACTATTGGGAGTTTTACATGTTTGACTTCCCTCATGCAATCTGAAAATTTAAGCATTTTACTACCCTACAAGGTGATGACAAACACAAAAAACCATGGCAAGCATTCATTGCTTCACTCAGAATCTAAAACATTGTTTTCATTATAATAATAAAAATTTAAATTCAAATAAAGTCACTACATAGTTCTTGCTCAAGACTTAATATAATTGTATGTAGATAATTAAGTAGGTAGACCTACGTTTTGTATGAAAAAAATAAACCTATTCGTACAGGTTTAGGCTTAGGGTTTATTAATTTATATTTATACAAATAGGTGATAACCGACAGGAATACACTATATATAATTAATTATTAATAAGAGAGAGCAGCAATTAAATCAATTTTGTTTAAAAATTAATGTATTCAGACATTTGGCAGTCATTATTAAAAACATTAAAAAATATATTAATGTTWAGTCATTTAGATGTAAATTAAACCAACAATTTGATGTCGAAGTTGCCAGAATTATCTGAAGGCTGAAAGCTGTCTAATCATGCACAATTTGGATAAGAAGTATATTTATTTTGGAAGCAGTGTGCTAGATTCCCGGTTTCTAGACAAATTTTGATAAAAYACAATTAACTGTATTTCCGTATACAATAAGAAACTTGGTGACCTATTATGTAATATATGTATGAAACTTTATCAAATACCTACTTACCTATATTTTGATAATTTTCAATACTAATCGGAAAACTGTACCTGTTATAACCTATTTTAAATTAGAATCTGCATTCTTATTCGTATGCATGCCTAGATTTTGGTCACAGGGTTATAAAGGTCACAGCTAATTAAATGTGCTCWTCAAAAATATAAATTCCTTTAATTAAATTCTCATGCTATAGTTATAAAAAATGTATAATGAACATTATTATTATTACTGCTACTTATTAAAAAAAATATTAGGGTTTTCAACATTTTTATTTATGATTAAAAATAAAAATAAAATTCACTTAATTTACTAAAAAAGAAAGTAATTTCAAGATTTTTGACACATAATAAATATATCTGCGAAGTAAAACATATTTTATAGAAAATCAACTTGGWACAGCTTTTAGTTTTCTGACTTCTAATAAATCTTGAAAAATGTTTTGTATAACAATAATTTTATGTTATTTATTATTCTTATGAAACAAAAATAGATTAAAATGTTTTTTTCTTTAAGTATTATAATTATGCAGATAGAATTTATGTTATTATCATTTATTATTATTTTTATTTACTGAGATTTTAACCAATCGTTATAATATCTTGACAATTAATATAAGTACATAGAATATGCGGATTTTAAGAATTATGAGGGGGAACACTTGGAAAGGAAGAGGTTATTGACGATTGCTAGACTATGAGAAAATCTCTGATTGGTAGATAACTTATGCATGTTTTTATCATTTAAAATATTAATATGAATTGATGTATTGTTTATATGTTCAAATTTTTCTTCTGGTTGGTTACATTTGAAATCCAAAATTTTTCTAACATTTTAAAATAAATTTTATTYGAACATTTATCAAACTTAGATAGCATTAAATATTTAAAGCATTTATTATCAATATTTTTCAAATTTATAATTAATTACTCTTTTATATATTCAAGAAGATCTAGATACATTCTTCGTCAGAGAGGATTCATTATATTAATTCTCATTAGTAATGCATCTATTGTTTTAATCAACCAGCCAGAATCTTTCACTAAAAAATCATCTTGTTCACTTAATAATTTATTGTACATCTTATTTAGTAATTTACCGAAATTGATGAATTACATGCAAGTGTGTTAGAAGTTTTGAATGCTATGTCCTGTACTTYTTGTATGATAATTTGTTAGTATACATTGCCCAAATTTAAAATACATTTTATAAATGTTTGTGATTTTGTAAACGTGATTCTTTGAACTTTGAAATTAATTGAAATTAACCTAAAGTATAGTTTAAAAAAAGAGTATGGTTAATCAATTTTAAAGTATGATTAAGTTTTTGAACATTTCTTAAATGTTTCAGTTTCAAATAATCCTTTAATTAGTAGATGCCATCTGCCGACGTTTTATAGTGGTCATTCTTTAGATTCTGTTTGTGCTTCCTCTTTATTTTGTTTCAGCTAAAATAAAAAAAAAAGGTATTAGTTTAGTAATAGAACCATGTGTTACCTATTACTGAGTATTTAGTTCAATATGATAGTGAAAAATCTACAATCATCATTTATAATAAAATTAAAAATTGAATACATGGTGTATAACTTTATATCTATTTTCCATTTTATAATTCAATAAATATAATATACTTATTTTGTAAATTGATGTTTTATAAATTTATTTTGATTTTTAAATATTTATTATTAAATACTTAGTATTATTTTACAGTGTCTTAAAGACTAAAACAAGAACACAGTGTTGGATCTTGAACTCTTAGGGCCCAGTGTAAAAAAATTTAGAGACCACTAATTTAAAAATATTATAAAAAAAATAAAAATTCATAATATCAGAGTTCCCCAAATATTTCAAAGAGTTAGGGCCCTAGTGTAACGCACAGCTTGCACCGGTGGTTTATACGGCACTGAGTAAACACTATAAAAGGAGTAATATAATGAAATCATAAATTTACTTTTTATTATTTAAAAAAAAACAATTTTTCCAGTTTGTATCAACATGCTTATGCTAATAATAAATACGTTGAACACAGATTTGTTATTATTTTTATTTAGAAGAGTAAATCATAATACTTGGGTAATGTTCAAAAAAAATTATTTTTAAAATATATACATTATTAATAGATGCATATATATTACCATTGTGAATATATTGTATACACTCAATAATATTATATAGATACTCCATTGTTAATATTTTTATAACTGTTTTGTATAACTAACACAAAATTGTATTAATTATTAGTTAAAGGTCAACATACACCTTGATTTGAAAGCACTGTACTAGTTTTGAATATGTAATATCCCAGTCACAACCAATTCTCCCAAAATAAATATTTAATAATTTAATGTCAACATTTTGTTTTTTACTRAGCATTTCTAGAAGAAAAAATTTATTATTTTGTTAATATATAAAACAATCAAGTAGTTACAGTGGCAGATAGGTGGACTCCCTCCTCAGGCTGTCTAAACATATGAAATCAATAGGAAAAAACAMATGGTATATGTATGTTAGTAGGTATATGCAAAATATTTTTAAAGTAAAATACAATACTTATTTAGGACTCATATTTTTTTTTTTTACTAAAAAACAAGATTTCAAAAATATTAAACCTATAATTTTTTAATTTTTATGTAAAATTTTTATTATTACTTATTTACTTRTTATAAAACTAATAGAATTTTTTTTAGGAAGTTGATTGAAAAAAACAACTTCATGATTTTGATGTAATTGGTTTCCAAGTTATTGGAATGAGCAACATGCATATGATGAAATAACTGGTCAACTGATAAGGCTGAAAAAAGAAAATAACTTTATTAAATATTTGTAATTTGTCCTAAGGGAAAATCACAAATGGTAAATATATATTGTACAAACATTTAAATCAAATCTAGCTATAATTAAACTAAATTTACAGTTACTGTATTAAAATATGATAGATACTTAGAATTATTTTGTTTAATTAAGTAATACTAAAATCCTACATGATGCTGATAAAAATCCCAAAAACTGTTACATTTTTCTGCACCTATTTGATAATATATTAAAGTCCAACTTTAAAATATTATACGCAACTKTAAGCAAGAAGCAAAACATCTCATCAGTAATATCGATCACCCAATTTATATATGACTTATGCCATAGAAGATTTTTTAGATGGGAGCCCACCATAAGCTACTGGTATATACTGCATCCAAAATATACATTTAAATTTCAAAATATATACGATTAAATGTTACATTACTTATTTGTAGATSCTTTGATTTGCATCTGATGGTTAATTTAGAAATATAGGGGAGATGATGGGGGCTTCTTGATGTACAATGCCATGGTACATTTTAAACACTTCGGTGCAAACGTATCTCATCAAAACAATTTTACCAATTTACACGTCCTACAACTATCATAAAATGAAAAATGATAAATTTTTAGATTATTACTTAAGTTAGGTAGATAAGTATTTAAATTAAGCCAACCTATAGGTAACATAATATGACTTATATGTAGATACTAATATACTATACACCAGCGTTTCCCAAACCATGGGTCGCGACTCGCGGTTACGATTACAGTTATTTTAGTCGTAAATTAATAAATAGTATAAATAACTAGTATTGTAGAATAAATGACGTAAAGTTATTATGATTATGGAATTTTTTTTATCTTATCGGTAAATGTGCTAATGACTAGTGACTAGTCGATATTCACACTAAATTTTCTATTATACTAATTTTTTGTATTTTTTTATTATTTATTTTATTTATTTATTAATTGAGTTATTATTATTTAGTATATTGTATTCGTATTGGATTTTATAAAAAAACTCAATGATAAAATGGATTATGGTAAAAATCTTATTTATTTAAGGCATACTTTTTTTTTAAGAGTGRAGGGGGGTCGCGTACCTAATTAAGATTAAATGTATGGGTCACCATTGCAAAAAGGTTGGGAAACGCTGCTAAACACAATCACTTAAAGGCTAAATAATATTGTTTTTCTAAAATATTGTCATAGAATATTACTTTTTTTTTTCCATTGAAAATCACTACATGGGAGCCGTACTGTTTTCACATTGCTTAGCCCTTAACATAGAATATWACTACCACAAATGATACTTACAATTATTGTACAATATTAATTGTTCTTCCAAATAAAAGTTTCTAAACTTAAAGATAATATTACAGATGTAGTTAGACCATACATGGTCATAACTCATAAGTCATAATAATACAAGCACGATTAATAAATACTTTTTTGTAATGTGATGACTGATGAGTGATTACACAAGTTGTTAAGTATAAGCRAGAAAATTATAAAACCAAAACATTAATAAGACAATATGTCAATATGACATTAAAAATATATCTATATTATTATCATTGATCGTCATTGCGTGATACTTATCATATATTTCGTTAGTGATAAAAATGTTATCTCAGTGAAAGYATATTAATTTAACAATTAGATTAGACCACAAATTATAATTTACATTTACACAGAATACATAATAAATGGACATTTTCCTGTTTTTCTAATCAGAGAATACCACATAAATTATAAAATCCCAAGGGCACCAGATAAACTGATCTACCGAGCAACCGGGATACCTATTGTCAGTGTCCGGGGTACCTTAAATAAAGAGTGGCTGTCGTTCGGTTCCAAGAATTTTATAATGCCTATTTTATGATGATAAATTGATAAATATTGGATGTTTAGTTTTGTGATTTACATTTTCAATGTGACATTTGATAAGTTACGATGTATTTTACTAGGAAATGAGTTGAAATAGTAAACTAAATGACGAAAAATTTATAATAGGTGTGATTATTTTATTCAAAAATACAGTTTTTAGAATGTATTAAACACTTTATAATGATTAACATGAACTTGAAAACAGACCACCAACAGCTCATTTTAACGCACAACGCACCAAAAATYATAGTTTTGATATGGATTTTATACCTACTTTAAGAGTACGTAACAGTGGTATTTATTGTCTCCGTCTTACCAGTTTTAAAAAAAATATGTTAAATTACAAAGGAGRCCAGAACTCTGAAATATCTTTTAAAATATCTTGAAATGCATCTTGAGACGTGTTCTGGTGTTCTCCACATAAATTCAGCCAAATAGGACTCCAAAAAATTCCTATTAGTTCCACCCGCTTTTCATTATGTCCTCACTTTGCAGAACCCCATAACCTCTCAATATATTGGGAGTGTGCCCCTATGTACGGCAACAAAATTATAGGTGTGGTTAACGGTATTATGACTATTATGTATGAATCCCGCTTGCCGCAAATTATTATAGGCTTTCCAACAATCTGACATAATTATATTTTTATTTAACCACTGATGGGAGTGATGGGACGATAACAAACAAGTACCTTATTTTGTTCAAGATTKTTACAATTTTGTATAACCCATTCATTTCTAATTTTGTAGTTTAAGAAATGTTTATATTTTTTTTCGTGGTAGTACGTTAGTATGTAGATGAGTTGTTATATTTTAAGTATGTGTAAGTGTAGTTTAAAATGGGTATACCTACGATCTACCTTAGAATTTACAAACGTCATTACTCATTAACTTATTCAAATATATTATTAAAAATTAATCTTAATTACTTATACCCTAATCCCTTAATATTCAATACTGGCATTTCATTTTTACCACAAAAGTATATCATTATAAATTATATATAATGTGTGATATTTAACGATCTCTGTAAAACCGTATTAATTTTTTATGTGTAATTATTATTAATATCACTATTAATTGTAAACAATTTATTATTGTTAATTATTATTTATTTAAAAGTTCTATAACGATTAACGGTATATATATTATTAAATCAGCAGTGCGACGGACGGTCCCGGTCAATCTGTGGCAGCCGGCAGGTCGATAACAAACAAGTACCAAAATAATAATAGTACACTGTACACTGTATATTAAAATTAATTATATAAGCTAATAATAATAATCAATGATATTACATAGGTAATGTCATAATATCAATATGTTTCAAATGTCTATGAAATATGAAGAATAATAAATTATAAATACAAAACATAACAAAAATATCTTTATTTTTCAATTAAATGTTTAATTTATTAAAAGTTTGAACTCCAAATGTATTTATAAAAAGATTGGGCTGAGATGAATCTTGGATAATTTAAAATGTATGAAGAAAAACTTGATGACCTTTTCCGAAAAAAAAATTAAACAACAATCAAAAATCCTGGCTATGCCACTGGTGGTACTAATACTGTAGTATAACTGAACAGCTAGTTCATTTTATTTATTAATCACCAAACATGTAAACATCGAACTTATCATTAAGGTATTAAACTCGCCGTTTTTTGTATCACGAGAGGATAAAATATACATTGTGTAGATAGTAGATACTAATGTAGGAACTATATTATTACTATTAGCATTGACCATGTTCATGCATTATAATATTATACACATAAATACGACAATACATCAATATATCATACATGGTTGTCGGCCGCACTGGACCAAGTGACAACCCGAACCCAGCACATACAATAGGTATGTACGATACTCCCATGGAAATTCATGAAAATTATGACTACATTAGGATTTCGAAGAAATATTGACAAACATAAAAATGATGGTCTTTTGTAGTATTATATAATTAAAAAAATGATTATTATTTTTGTGAAGAATAGTAAGTTAAAAAAAAAGAAATACGAAAAAGTAATTGATAATGTATAAAATATTTACCATTATGACTATGAGGCTACGTTACATCTTAATCAGTTACACTAGTATAGTATTTATATCAATAATAATATAATATATATAGTATAGTATGAACATAATATTTATTGTTCTAAAAATACCGCACATTTCCGTAAATTGACGCATTTCGCCTTGGGACACGACCGATTCTATTTTGGGTGATAGAATTCTTATGTATAAATATTAAATTGTAATGCGCTAATTATATAATAATAATAACTAATAACTCCGAGTTTTTTTCACAAACAGTATAATACCATTACGTATTTACGTTAACAGTATATTTAGTGTAGTAACTAGTTTCATTACGGTTGTCCTGTCTCCAGACGTCTCCTGCACTCTGCTGTTTTCGATCGCATTTCGCATACGACCGTCGGCCTAGTGAGTAGTGAACTAGTGACTATCACCTACACAAATTGCAACACGTGCACGAGGTCCAAGACTCCTTTAATAGGTACTGTAAGTTGACATTTTATTCATTATTCTATTAATTTATAATAACATCGTTTTGTTTCCTTTATATTTAAATTATTCTTGTTAGTAGGTTACAAAATAAATTATATTACCAATTATTATTATCATTATAAYAATAATAATAATTATTATTATAAGATGTAGAGTGATGACTGAGAAATGACGATTACAATAAATGAATACTTTATTATTTTATAATTTTCAAAATTGTTACTTCAAYCATGTGTCATGTCCAATCGTGTCCAATACTTTTATACATGATTTGATATAGTTTTAAAATTTTTTTTTTTAATAAATACGCTTCAACTACCCGGGTTATTGGCGTTTCAAAATACATATTATAGTTTACTTAATTTTTACAAAATAATAAATTGTAAATAGGTGAAAAAATGATATAAAAAGTCGAGTAATAAGTATTAAGAGAAATGTGTTTACATTTTGTATGATATTCTAAGTTTTACTAATGCTATTATATTTTAGCAGAAAGTTGGTCTCTTTGAGAAATTCTAAAAGTGATGATGTTCTCTCTTTGTTTGATGCAAGTATTTCACACAGATAGTTGTGGAGCATCAGTTTGTGTCTGGCGTCTTTTGTGAGGAGGCATTCAGTTAAAATATGTTTTACTGTGATTGCGGTATTACATGAGGTGCATATCCGTTGTTCCTTTTTGTTCATTAAATGCTATAATGTATAATGTGTAGTGTATAATGTGTGGCTAATTTGTAATCTGTCGATGATAATTTGATGTCTGCGTGGGAGTGACATATGTATATGTGATATATGTATCCAAGGGAGGGTGCAGGATTTAATTTCTCTTAATTTGTTATTTTGCATTAATCTCCATTCTCAAAGACATGTTTGATTGAGGTTAGCGTTTATTTGATGTTTTGTGTCAAAATAGATTGTAATATTCCAGAATTCAGTTAGTTCTTTGGTTGCTTTTTTGGCTATTTCGTTTGCGATTTCATTACCTGGTTTACTGTTGTGTCTAGGTACTCATATGTATTTGATGTCTTTTTTGGTTATGAATAGAATGTTCAATAAATGGGTCCAAATAGGGTTGTCTTTTTTGGGATTTACTAAGTTTTTGAGAGCACTAAGAGAGTAGTTTTTAAATTGTTTAATTATATATCTACTAATTATATTATAATTATGAATTTTTATTTTTCAAATATTTRAAAATTAGAACATTTAACAAAATATTATTTATTTAATACATTTTTTACTAATTTTATAGTGTATAAATGTTATTTATTTAAGTACCTAATTAATAATTATATATTTAATTATACCTAAGCTAGGCTACCTACGGACTTAATTTTGAGAACTCATATCTATGACATATATATATATATATATATATATTTATTTGTCTATATTTTAAATTTATTAACCAATCTAACATAATTTTTTATATAAAAAATACTTGGAAACTTCAAGTAAAATATTTAAAAAAAATTTATAACTGTATATAAAACAAATGTTCAAAACTAAATTTGTTCATTTACTAGGAAGTAAGAGTGTTCATTTATTGGTATTGTCAACGTAAAATATTAATACAGCTTGATGTTTTTTTTTTGACACTAAATTAATCTTATTTTGACATACTAAAAAAATTGTGAAAATTTATTTCTATACAAATATGAATTTAATATAAAGGTAGTTTAATATTAATCATAAAATATTTATTATTGTTATTTTTGTAGTAAATATTTWCTGGTATTGTAGTGAAAATGGACTATGAGATATGAGGCTATGCGATGTGAGAATGACTGGTGTTAGTGAGCAGGATGCTAAGGATCGTAGTAAGTGTAAATTGAGGACCAGGGTGACTGACTCCAACTGAGGGAAGGCGAAGGGAGGAAAAGAAGAAAAATTAGTGAAATGGACTCTAAAAAGGGTTCACTTCTATCCTACAGGATTAAAATATAACAAAAATTAAGGCACCATTAAACATTTTATAACCACTATATTATAAGAATTAAGATCTGATAGTATAGGCCTGGTCAGACCTATAAGGGCTTTTCTTTTAATATAATTGGTACACAATTGAATTTCTRTGATGGCTGTTAATTACATATACAAGAATATTTTTTTAGGTAATATCATTGATTATAATTTTTTAAATACTACTTACTGTATACATTATCTATAGTAGTATTCTATGGTAAGATTCTAATATTTATGTACAACAATTTTACATTCTCCTCCCTCTCACAAACATGACCAAAATAAGCCATTTAGGTCGGTAATTTATTAATATAATTAMTATAGATTACTTAATAATCAATGTTAGATAATTATTTTTAAATTCCAATACTTTTCTATAGGTAAGTTATAGCAATATATATCCCCATTGACTTGCCTAGGGCTAGTCCCAGTCCTTCGGCTGATGATCAAATGACAAATGTAAGTTCAATAACCCTTAGTACTCTAGCAGGTTTAAAAAATAAATTTTTTAGTTTCTACATGATGAAAAAATTATATACCTATAATAATAATATATAATAATATAATAATATTGTACTCAAGTTCTTAAAAAATGTATTTATTTTATTGTTTATCTGTTATTATCGGATTATGATAGTATGGGCTAGGTGTTTATATATTTTATTATTTTTATAATGAATAATAAATAAATAACACGTATTATTTAATAGCCTAATTAAATTATTATTTWAAAAAAATTAAAATATTTTCTATAATATTATAATATGTAAATAATATATTTTAAAACTAATGATGTTTAAAAAAACAAATATTTATGTACGTATTTTTGTTGTGTAGGAACTTATACAACTCTTTTTATATTCGTGTAGAAATTTTGAATACCTACTGGCTACTACCCACACATTTCGATTTCATTTATAGGAATTAACAATTAACTTACTATGCAACTTATACCTGTTAGCTGTTACTCTAGTGTTGGCATAGTAATCCTACTAATATACTATATTAATCCACGATCCAACCAAAAATAAATGTATTTATTGCATTTTAAAAATCACTGGAGTTATCATATTATATTTTCAGTACCTTCGAATGACGAATGTCATGTTGCCTAGTAGTTAATCTAATTAGTTAGTTTTCGCATGTCGTTCGTATCGTTTGTCGTCGATAATTTTCTTTCTGTTTTATTACCATTGTATGCCACGCAATTTTTCACTAACAGTTGTTTTGTTAGTTTATTTTGTATTTATAATTAATATATAATGCATTATTTTTTAGAATTTTTTATTTTGAAGGCTAAATATACATTCAATYATTCTTAGATTTGCAACTGTTCAATTAGCAAAAAAAAAACATTGATAATATTATCTGTAACATTACATCGAGATTAAATACCAATTTTCTATTTTTAATTTTTTATGTAATGCCAGTTATTTATTACGATGCTATCGACTAAGACGTTAAGTCGTTCAGTAGTTCACACAAATATAAGTAAGTACAATAAACAGAGGTAGGCATAGGTATTATAATACAATTTTGTTATGTTATCAATGTCTTGACTGGTATTGGCGTATTGTTGGACTTCAGATTTATTTCTGTTGAAATAGGTTTCAAACTCCCAAATGGCGGCAAACGCAATTTAATTATTAAAAACTATACGTGTTAGGAACATAAAACAGAGTAGATATAGATATAAGGATTTAATAAAGTACTGAAAATTAGTTATCTATCTAAATATTATAAATAATATATAATGATTAACAAAGTAATATATATTTAACTACAATATTTAAGAAAGTAAGAGGGTAAGTATTATAATCACAAGAACAGTGGTGTAATTTGGCTATGTTTGTGGGGGGGGGGATAAAATGTTTTAACATTTTACCTATACCCCCCCTCCCCATAAAAAAATCAAAAGTATTTATTATAAGCACCTTTCAGAATTCAGAGCAATATATTTATGTAGGTACACATGAGACAAAATAATCTGATAATCGTCGAGCGTCGTCGATCCACGATAAAATAATACTTTACTACTCGGGGTTTATTTTTGTACCACTACACAATGCATAAACAAACTCAAAACATATTGCAATAGTGATGCTTATAAACTTGCGTGGCTGCATTTAAAACGAACTTAGTACGAAGTATTTATGTACAACTAGTATAAAGGATTTGTTTTTTTTTTTGTATTATTTCTATAAAGTATAAAATATAGACTATAATAATATTAATTCACCGAGGTATTTGATTTCAATATATATATAAAATAATAATAATATAATTATTAGATAAAGAAGTACATAGGTGAATGTAGTTAACCAGTCTTAAAAAAAAAAGGTCATGGGGGGGATACGACACCCAAATCCCCCCCCCCGTAATTACGCCACTGCACAAGAATCAAATGATGCAATTAAGTTATAAGTTATAGTTTATTAATTTACATTTCATTTGTGGTTGTTTTGAATTAGTGTCATAGATAAAACCGGGGATAAAACTTTTTGTGTTATCCTATGAGGACTATATGTCTATATCATTCTATGGTCTATCCTTAATGTATGTAGTATTAGTTTCTAGTGTTTCTACCATAGTCTAATAAGTATTATTACTATTATAGACTATAGTTGTACAGCTACCGGTAAACTACAGTATTCTGTAGTATAATATGAAATGTCATACTGTCGGTATTATAATTGTTCTGAAAAGATTGTGTATTAAAATAATAGGTAAAAAAGTATCTAATATGTTAATATCATTGACAAGAGATCGGTGCACTCTAATATTTTATTGGTATATATACATATATATTATAATATATCATATTATTATACGTGCGAGTTAGTGTAATATAGGTAGGTAGTATAAAATGATATGGGTCCTGTCACATTTTTTTTTCATGAAAAACGACACGACGTGGCATTATAATATGAGTAATACGCGACGTTGCTCGTCTGTAAATCGACCTCTWTAATAATAATCGTACACCGTATGGCATGGCGTTTTACCGTCATCCATCGGTACAAATAATAATAAATAATAATAATATTATAATACTACGCAGTAGTGCAGTAAACGCCGACTACGCTGCCTAACGTACATGGACGGACGTCAGCAATCGCTATGCGACTCGCACAACACTCGTCATAATAAATCGTTATATCGTCAACGTAACCGTGTTATATAGCTTGTGTGCATACTGCATAATATGTATATATATTAAATATAAATAATTTACGAGCATGAGGATATCGTGGCGGCGGCGCATGGCGTAATGTCGCATGGGAAAATCGGACACGAGCCGAAAAAGTAATATGATTTCCATTACGTTAATCGCCGCGTTGACGACACWATAATATTTTACTACCATCGTTAACAAAAATAATTATTGCTTTTTACATTGACAAGTGACAACGCGTACCRTGTACAGTACAACTGTATACACACATTGACAAATTGTTGAAATTCCTATTTGTTCGGAATTCCCTAATTCGATCCATCGGAAGTTGTGGAACGGCCGATATCTATAATTATCCTATGCCGGCCATCATACGACGATTAATTTCAAATTACAGTTCACGAATTAATTATTCACGACGCTAATAAGGAATCATTGTTAGCGTATGCGAAAGTTTACGATAAAAATAGCAATCGCGATTTTTCGTATTACAGACAATCATTGTTATGACTTCTGATAAATTATAATATTAAATATTAAAATATCCACGTGAAGAACAACGTTAATATTTATTACTCATTGGACCGCTGAGTGCGCATACGGCATACCGGACACCGGTATGATATTATTATTATTATTGTTGTAATAATATTACACAGTGGGTTTGGCCGTTTGGACAGCACGTAATATTATTATATTTATTGTGTGGAACTCGAACGTTGTAAGCTGAGTGAGAAAAAATATATATACAAATATACAATATATTATAACACCAACGACGGGTGGACGGGAAGTGAAAGAAGAGAAAAAAAACCTAGAAGCCAACTCATGGAAAGGTTTGACGTATGTACGTATATAAATATTTTTTTTTTGTTCAACGCGATTTCGTATTTTCGTTCCGCCGCGGCATGTTATATGGATTGTGTCGCCCGYGTGCGTTTCAGTGCGTGCGTGCGCGCGTCGTGTGTTGTGCACGATGCGCGCGCGCCCGTCGACCGGCGGTTGCGCCAGCAACGGCGGCGGCCAACAATCCGGAGTCCGGACGGCCAAGCCGGCGGCGGCCTGCACGCAGCACTTTCCACCGCTCTCGTCCTCGGCACTTCTCCGACCACCGCGCCGTCATCGTCGACCGTCGTACACACGCTCGCACGCATTCACGCACGCACAAACACACGCACGCACGCACGCACGCACGTTCGTACGCCGCACTACCGCTCGCGTGCGCCGTCGGCCGACCGCCCTCCAGTCCATCGGCGACGCGTCCACAACGGTCGTCGGCGTTGTTTTGGTATTACCTTATTACACCACCCCAACCCCTTTCCCCGTCAACGGATATCACCGCTGCGGCACAGCCCGTTCGTCAGCACACCGCTGCCGCTGCTCCCCATCGTTGTCGTAGTAGTCGCCGCCGCCGCCGCCGCCGCCGACGAGTGTATTTGTTATTATTATTATTATTATTATTACTATTATTATTACTATCGAGTATCGAGTGCGCGTCGTCGTGTTCGTGTACTTACCTTCACGTCGTCTCGACTGCAGCAGCTATTATTATTATTATTTCTAGACGAATTATTATTATCGCGTTATCGGTGCATATTATCGTTGTGTTTTTCAGCGTTCATTTTCGATACTGTTCAGTCGTCGATGTGCCGTGTGTGATGTCCAATCATCATATTCAGCACTAGCACATTTGGCACGGCAACGTTTGTCGCCCACCGTTCGCCGACACGACAATCGAGGACGCGTTTCTGTGGACCGCGAATCGTGTCCGTCCTTATTCCGTGTGTGCGTGTCTACTAAAAGTCGTTAGTCGCCTGGCACAACCGCCGCCATACCGTAAAAACGTACTATCGTCGACCGTAGTTCATTGTTCCGGATCGTTGACGACGCGGTGTTCATAGGCGTTGTAACCAGACAAATATCTCGGCCGCGCACCGTGTTCCGAGAACCTACGACGTTTGGTGCCGTCCTCTTTGTGCCTATCGATTATGGCGGCAGCTGCCGTCACCGCCGCCACCACCATTTCTGCTGCTGCGGCCTTAACGCGACGGTTCGTCGTCGACGCCGTCGTCGTTGTTCGTCGTCATCGTTGTCGCCACGACATTCCCGCGCTGACATTAGTGACGCCACGTTTGCTCCACCAATAGGTGACACGAAGATAGAAAGTTTTAATCTACCGACTTTGTTGCCCAAACGACCGGTGACTCCGTATCGTCAAACGGACCGCGTTATCCGACGTCTCTGAGCCACTGTCCATCGGTACCTTACTCGTAAGTCCAACGTCGTGTTTCTCCCATAACTGATGCTCCACCTGTAATAAGTTCTCTACTTAATGAATCACTCCAAGTGAGTGATTCTGGTGTTACGCTGCATTCGTAATATAATCGCGTCTTTTACCCTAGGTCTTAGCTCAAACTCAATTTTTGTTTTTCAAGCTGGTACCTACACTGACCTTAGTTATCATTGACATAACTTTAGGCAACTACCTACTACAGATATTGTAATTTCTCTACTTAAAGCATATATGTTTCCGTTAGATGTYTTATAATCATATGTCTTTTCTTACACTTCTGTTAAATTATGTTTTTAGGAGATACCTTCATGTTTAACGAAAATTGTGACATCAATCATATCAAATGCCATATGAGCCACTTGTTTTGTTACATAGACTTGCGCCTGAAGACGTAAATCACTTGATACGACAAAATCCTCCTCCGCCTACGATTACCAATCAATCACAGTAAGTAATCAATTACAATGTTCAATCATTATTCAAATGCACTTAATTTATATAGTATGGAATATTTTGTTTCTATTAGAAATGTCCACACATTTCAAAACAATGAAGGAAACAACACTAAATCACTGGGAAAGGACGTAGTCGTAAACAAAAGTAATTTACCTTTAGAAAATAAAAAGAAATCGACTTGTGCTCGTTCATCACCTAAATTACGAGTTCTAAAATCGAATTCAAACGGCGTAAATCATGACAAAAAAGAACAGGAAAAATGTCCTAAGGAACAAAAAGTCACAAACAATCGGATAGGAGAATTATCATTTGCCGAAAAATCTAAACTTTTATCAACTAATATATTTCAAAAAGAATTAGTTGTTGTTATTGATAATTGCTTCAATGACGTGATTAGAGAAATGGTAAATAGTACAGCTCAACACCCGAAAACACGAAATCCTACTAATTCAACAGTATCCACCAACAGCAATACAAGTAGTAGTAATTCTGTAGCTTCGACTCGAGACTCTGCGGTTGGTAAAGAACACATCATAGATGACACTATTATGATAACAACTACAAAATCTCCACTATCTACAGTAACTCCTGTTTTAGAGGTAAATGATTATGTTTTTATTTTTAATATGTAAATTATTACTGAAATTATTTTAACTTAAGTGATTTCTTTAAGAGAATAATCAGTTTGCTGATCGATTTCTGTTAGTGCTGTACATCTCCCTCTAAAAACTTGGTGTTAGCATGATCACATGGTTCTCGATGTGTCAACCACTTAATTGTTGATGCACGATAACTGATTATACTCTTGTGGAATAGACTTGGTCTGTTGAGCTATTAAAAATAGTTTTCATAGGTTAGGTTATTTTTAAATAACTAATTCAAAATAAATCAACAATTTATAATTCCTTAGTACAAATGTTMACATGCTATGGCAACATTTTTTTTTGCAGTCTAAAAATGAAATATTTGAACATTATTTTCACTTGTCCACACAAATTTGATAAAATAGACATTAAGTGTGTTATTAAAAATGGTCCCTCTATATTTGTCTCTACAAGCTAAATGTAAAATTGTAGGTAATAAAAATTAGTACCTACTCTATTAGTCTTGTGATTTGTATATATATTATATATGATATTTTTAAAATAAACCAAAAATTATTAGACAACCAACAGTTAAGCTAAACAAAAATACTACATATTTTTAAATAAAATAAAAGTTTTAGTAATAAAGCCTATATTTTAAATTTATTAATACCTAGGTAATTAACCTACACATTTTAACATTTTAATCTTTTATTGTAATAGTATTTAATTACATAATAATAGTTCTAGTCTTACCTATATTTACACTTATTAATTAATGTTATGAAAGCAATTAAAGATATTCTATTATATTATAGTTTAAGTTTTATTCATAAATACTATCTAAAAGATATAATTATCAGCATTTTGCCATCGTGGACATTTTAGCTTATTAATATTACTTTATAGTTAGTACATGATAAACAGGTATGATGATGTTTATGTGATATGCTACTGTGTCATATGTATCATAGTTATTCATTATATTTACTGACAAATCAAAAGCGATATGATTTGTGTAAAAGTTTTCATCAAATAGGTTAGGTTATATCATACCATGTTACTTTATTATAACTTAATAAATATTTGAATTGATAGAACAATATTATTCTATCTGTTTGACAGTAATGAATATTATCAAAGACATGTTAAATGTTTAATAAATATTATGGAGTATTCGGAAGATACAAACAATTAATTGTCACCTAATATATAAAGAATGTTTTGGTAATAATTATTAAATCTTAAATTTTAATCTAGTTAATAAAATAAAATAAATTTTGCTTTCTCGAGACCATAAATATTTTTATTAAGCTTAAAAATATTTTATTTTAAACTTAGGTATATACAATCAGTCCTATGTTTTCTTAAAATGTTTAGCTTTTTATTAATCATTGAATTTTATTATTCACAAATGTAAGTAAAATTAAAGTTTTGTGTTCTGGGTTTTATTAACTAATTAGTCATTGATAATTTCTCGTATTTCTATTTGATAATATAAGAAAAAGATATATTTTAAAGGTCAACGATTGTGTTGTTTTTATAATTACAACTATAATTTTATCAAATTATGCAGTTTAAAATTCAAATCAAAGAAAATAAAACTATTAGGTACATATTAYTAAGTATTAAAAAAAAATTTTTTTTAAAGAAATGGGAAGCTTAAATTGTTTATAAAAATGTATCTGTTATGTTATATATATGKTATATTATACAACTAAAAATTGCATGTATTGTATTATTAAAACCCTTACATCAAAATGTTACTTATATTTTATTAAGTTATTTTTATATTAATAAATAAAGTAATACCTATCATAATTTAATAAAAGGTCCAAAACAATTTTTGTTTTTTTACCCAAGTCTTTGCTATACACAATAACAATAATAACATGTATAAAATTATCAATATTTTAATTTATACCTAGGTTTAATAATTTTTATTTTCCTCTTTACTCAGGTGATTGACAAAAAAGCAAAAGATATTTCATCAAATGGAAAGCAACTTATTACTGCAGATGGACAAGATAAGCTGATCAATTATGACAAGGTTCATTATGATTCTTCAGGCCTCAGTTTGCGTACAAGGACTATATCGTCAACAACAGTACCTACATCATTACATCATTCAACAGTTCTTGGATCAAATTCTGCACATCCTAATTGTTCTACTTCATCAGTTATTACTCCTACTCCTAGACCTCGTGGTCGGCCCCCAAGACGAAAAAATCTGAAGCATATTGCCAATAGAAAAGCACTGCAACAAGCTGCTAGTAAACCATCTGAAGAGAGCAAAGTCTGTGATTTAACTGCATCAATTACTGAAGTAGAATCAGCAGCAATTAGTTTGGAACGTTTACAGCAACAACAAAAGTCACTGATTGAATGTAATAATATCGAAAGTTAYGATGATGAGCTAGAAAATAGTGAAAAGGATCCCATCTATATTAATTGTGTTACGGATAATAAACATTCAGCACTATCACCAGAAGTTGATAAAGATGAGGATTGTATTATTGTAGATATCGCTTGTAAAAAGAAAAGTAATAATCGTAAAAGAAAACAATCTGATATCGAAGAAACTATTGCGGAAAAACGTCTATTGATATCTGATGATTCTAAAGATTTGTTATTGGAAAAAAATATAAAAGACAAGTCTTCACTGCCAGACAAATCAGATACCGATTCAGCCGAGTATGGTTTCTTAGCTGGTTGTAACATTTTTGAACCATACAGACAATTTAATGATTGGAAGTCATCCTCTTCCAACTATTCTTCAGTTTTATATGGTCGCACATATTGGCCAACAAGTTGGGAATATTCAGCAGCATCGCTCACTGGTCATGTTCCAAAAAAAACATCAAAAGAAGCATTACGTAAAATAAGATTGATTAGTGGAGGAGGAGTCACCACTAAAACCAATGGTAGCTCTAACTCAATATCACTGAAAACCAATTCTACATTAAAAAAGTATCAAACTTCAGTTCTACAAAGACGTGGTAGTGCTTGCAAATCAACAGCAATAGCTTCTGTTGAAGTATCTGGTGGTGTAAGACATCATCCTTCAACGTCAACAACTATTGTAAAACGACAAAAAGGTCGTCCTCCTGGTAGAAAAAACAAGCTTATACAGGCTGTTTTGAAATCAAATAGTCCGCGGAAGTCGCCTCGCCAACATGCATCTACATTAGCAGCAATTATGTCTAACAAAGTTGGAAATTCTGATAAAGTCGAAAATCAACTGCCTGATAAACTAGAGGCAGATCTAGAAACCAACAAAAATTCTTTAGACATGGATGTTCCACGTTTAATGAAGATGTCCATGCCAAATTATGAAGATATGCCAGGATTCCGTCATCGTAGACATCGTCGCCAACTGGAAAACAAACGTATCATAAAACGTCGCCGTCAATGTCGTTCAACTACTCCACCTCCACCAAAATTATGTGCTCAACAACCAGCTCCACAGCAAATTTCTATAAATACTGCTATGGATCAAGAAAGAGTAAAATTGCGTACTAAACATGTGGATGTAGTAAGAAGGCGAGCACGGGATGAGAGATTACGTGCAGCGTTTGTATGTCAACAATTATATAAAGTTCATGAAATAGCTGAACTAAATCGTTTTAAACTGGCCCAAGAGGTTAAACAAACTGTTGATGGAAATAAAGAAGACTATCAATTCTCAAATAATGCTATAATATTACCATTTGAAAGTAATCAAGACCATATTTGGTCTCAAATTACTGATAGTAATCGAGAACCTGATAATATGTGTTTACAAATAATGTATGAACAAACTGCTGACAAAAGGTTTTTATTTACTAATTTGACTGATGAGACTTTGCAAATATATTATCAACAACGTGAATTAGCTTTAACTGAACGTTTAACAAATAATTATCATGGTGAAGCTTTGTCTTCCGATTTAGGTATAGACATGGTATCAAATAAGCGAAAGAAAAAACGGCCGAATATGACTGGTTGGCCAAAAGAAAAACGTCGTAAAATTATAACTACCACATCATCTATAAACTCAGCTGTAGAAGATCCAAATGGTGATAGTGATACTGAGAGAGATGAAATAGCCAAACGCCGAAGAGCAGCAGCAGCAAAACAACAGAGGCTCAGACGTCAACGTATAAAATTAGAGCAGCAGCAGCTACTCAAAGAAAAATCCAAAATTAGGATAAGAGCTGCCTCACCTAAGCAAAGAGGTCGAAGACCAGGGCGCCCTAGGCGCCCTGGTCGTCCTGGTCGCCCAGGTCGACGTCCTGGCCCTAATAAAAAAAATAAAAGTGCAACATACCGTCGTAATAATAGTGTGAGTAGTAATGGTACAACAGCAAGTAGTAATACCAGTAGTACTACCACTAAAGTAACTAAAGTGAAAAAACCAAGAAAGCAACGTACACCTGCACAAAATAAAACTGCTGCACCAATAGTGTCAGTAACACCTGTTACACCAAATGGAATTGTAAAACGAAGATGTGGAAGACCTGTAGGAAGTGTTGGTCGACGTCAACGATTAAAACTAGAGTTATTACAACAGAATTGTCAAAACCAAACGCCATCATCCTCTGAACAACAAAAAGAGAATGTTGTCCAGCAACAGTCTAGTACAGGCAAATTGAAATGTGTTATATCAACACGTAATAATCGTATGAAATTATTGTCAACCTCTGGTAGAAGTTCCCCTGCTGCATTGAATCAAAAGAAAACGATGACTGCAAGCAAAACTAAGAAGTCAACTGCTGTGTATAATTTAACGTCTTCGTGTTTAACAACACTGCCATCATCACAGGTGACGGCAGCGGGTAAAATTACTAGAACTACAGCTAAAAGAAGAAGACTCCAACAGCATCAACAAACAGCTACAGCTACAGTTACATGGGATGTTGGAAGACCTAAAAGATATCATTCAACCAGCCATAGTAGGAATGCTAGTAATGTTGTTGTTGAAGAAGATTGTTGTTTTGTTGGATCACAACCATTTGAACAACATTGTCCAGGTGGTGGAGGTGGCTTAAGTCATAATACTGTACTTGAAAATCATCAAGATCACCAAAAAGAAAACACAGTACACAGTGGTTTATAGTAGATACTACAGCAATTGTTCATTATTATTATTTATATTTTTTATTAATTATTATTACAATTATTTTTTTCTTACCAAATGTTTGTATAAATTAGAATTATTACTATTTAGATAAAACTGTAAACAAAAACATGTATTCTCTTAATACATAAAATATAATTTCTAGCCAAATTTTTACCCAAATAAATTTTATACTTCTGTATAAATAACTAACAAATAAACTAGTCGTATATTGATTTATTTTTTTATCTTCCATTGTTTCTTTTTTAAGTAACTCATCAATCACTACCCTTTTCCCGCATTATTACAAAGAATTGGTGTAAAAATTTGTTAAATAATCTAAAAAAAGACTGTTTCGGTTCCTATATGTAAGAAATTATTAATTATTTTTTTTGGCTTTTTTAAATATTTTTATTCATTTTTTAGTGTAATCATTCCTGTAACAACTCTTAATTTTTAAATTAAATTAAAATTGTTTAAAAATAATACATTAGTATGAAGTTAAACTGTATTAAGTTCTAAGGAGAAGGTTTTATTTAATTTATATTTTTATAATTTGTACTTATCTTTAATGTTTATTGGTTATATGTTAATGAATTTATTTATTATAATTTTTTTTATACGTTTATATTATGGCAAAGTTAATAAAAATGGTGCCATGATACTTCTCTTCCCATTAATAATGTAGAGAATTAATCAAAAACAAATTTAATGATAAATAACTATGTAATAGTATTATATATTATAATGTATTGTGTTTTTGGCCCTACATGATGGGGAATAAAACGAATTTTAAATTATTTTATATAGGGTGAATTAAATGAAAATATTATTTTATTTGAAACTTTTTGTAAATAAACACCAAATTAAATTCTACCTACAACAAATCTCTTATACTAATTATTTTTCTTTTTGTGTATATCTTATTAAATTGTTTTATATGTTTTAAATAGTGCGTTAATGCTGGTCCACATAGGACAAGGAAACAAAACATAAACTCAACTCTTCTCAAGACAAATGGGTCAATTATAATGTTTTAAAAATATAAACAGTACAAAAACCAAAATGTGTGGGCCTAGCATTTGACTGCTAATCAGATACTTTCCTTTTTTAAGTGATACTGGTATACAATAAGTGCTAAGCACAACTGTATTAAAATTTCATTCTCAATATGGTTTGGAAACTCACAGTATAATACGTATATATATGCATTGGAAAAACGTATTTAATAATTATAAATTTAATGTACATAATATGTATTTTCTATTAAAATTCTTTGTTCCTTATTTTTTTTAAGTCAAACCCTCTTAATCCAACCAACCCGAGTCTCATATAAGGTGAACGTCAAGATCTGTACTGTGATTATTTCAATTATAAAGGAAATAATGCAATGGTTTATTGGTAAGTCATTTAGAGGGGTAAAGAATATTCAAGAATAAAGATGGTGGACATGTGTATCAACTAGTGCTGAGCATTATTTTGACYAATCCGAATTTTTGATCCAATCCGGCTTCATTGTTTTTGAGATAATCCGCTATTTTTTCATTATTATTAACCTAAATAATACAAATATATAATCTCAGAACTATTGTCAATCAACTCAATGTTATGAGACCACCAACAGCAAATATATCTGGGTTAATATTATTAATAATTATTTTTAAAACACTTCATAATTCGGGTTTATATCATAGACCGGATTAGGTATTTTAATCTGGATATGGCCTAGTATCAACTTTTCATCTGTTATTCATTCATTCTCTATTTTTTTTTAAATATTTTATACAGGACATAATTAAGGAATGTAATATTCTGTAAAGATTAAACAATTAGAGGATTTTTTTAAAAATTATTTAATGTATCCATGTATTTTATTTTTAAATTTAAAAAATAAAACTTGAATTATGATATACTTTTAGGAAAACTTCTAAATATAATTGAATATTTTAGATTCTGAACGGAGTGATGTCTGTACAGCATAACTAGTCGAAATAATGCTTCAATTTCAAACTTTGGGGGTGGTTTCCGATGGAAAAGTGAATATCCTTGGTGCATTATACAGGCCAAAGGTAAACATTTTCAATAGTTTTCAAAAAAATCGAGAAAAAAAATGACAGAAAAACAGGAGCCCAGAATTTTTACGCAAAACCAGTTTTCGACCAAATCGATTTTTTTATACGGTTGTAATTCAAAAACTAATCACTGTAAATACTTGAAATTTTCACCAAATGTTTATGTTAGTGTTATTTATATACAGTTTAATTTTCAAAATTTTATTTATTGACCACTGAAATTTTCGATTTTGATGAGAATTTTATTTTGAAGTGTCGGTAAAAAAATGTTGGATGACCAAAAAAACTTGAAAATTTAATACAAGGTTCTTTATGAGTTGTTCTTAATGTAGCTAAAAAAGATTAAAAATCGTTAGTCACAATTTTTTTTCATAAACGTTTATAGTTCAAATTTTTACGAAATCTGTCGAAAACGTGAAAATTTGCAAGTAATTTTGAAGTTGAAAAATCATAAAAATTTTTGTGTTTATAACTAAGGATTAAAAATACAACACTAATTTTTCCATCAAGTAGCTATAGAGAAATTCCAAGCATAAATTTATGAAAAATTTTAAGTGCGTTTGATTTTTAAATTTTTACGAAATAGCATAACTACGATAACGATTTATCCTCAAACGATTTTAAATATTTGTTATTATGCAAAAAGTATATGTCATAGATACTTTAAAATTTTACCAGTTATTTAGATTGGCATTTTCTTTACATGATTTAATTTTCAAAATATTTTGACTTTTTTTGAGATATTTATAGACTGACAAATCATTTCCGTTCAGAATCGTTTTTCGTATATAATGATATCATTGCCTTCAAATTTAATCTACCCTACTCAGAGGTCCATCCCACCCCCTAATGTACAGCAAAGCGATACCCACTTACCCGCTTTTTTAAATTAATAATAAACTGTTCAAAAAAAATATTCATTATAAGTGCCAATATTTTTGTCAACAAATTATCAGTTATTTTTTTTTTAAATTTATACACACTAATCATTAGTTCCAAGAATAATACAATATAGTAATAACTAATAGTAATTATTTAACATTGTAGTATTATTGTACTAGATCAGGGTACGGCAACCTTTTTTGACGAAAGAGCCAAAAGTTACAATATACAAAATTTTTCTAATTTTAAAGAGCCACTAAAAATTTTCATAATTTTTTAAATATAATTTCATTTTTAAATTTTAATAGCCATAATAATTCAATTTTACAGTTATGAATTAACGAGTTACATCATTGGGAGCATGGCTTTGCATATAGCATTATATTATCTTTTGAAACTTTTGTTAAGTCTGGTTCAGTCTGGCTCAAGTTGTTGTTTTAAGTATCAAGATATTGTTATGTATTATTTTATATCTTTAAAAGCAACAAAAATAATATAATGTAAAATATTATAAATTTTTTTATATCAATATATTKTTTTTGAACATAAAATATTAATTTTTGCGTGTGGAAATGGTGAGCCGTAACTATTATAAGATCAAAAGGGCCACATGTGGCTACTGGCTTGTGAGCCCCAGGTTGTCGACCCTTGTACATGTCTTCAGATAAATATTGATTTTCAAAGTAACAAACCGTACAGACTTAATCACAATATTTTCAAAATTACTAATTACTATGCCTACATTTTTTAATAGAATAGGAGTCAGTAATGATCAATGCTGCTTATTATTAATTGAGAGAATAATTATCAAGCTTTGCATGATTGAGAGATAATTTTGTTTCTTATTTGGTTTTACATTTGCATATTTTATTATATTATATTTATTTTATGACATGGTTTATTTTTTTTAAAAACACCTTACAACATATATATTAGAATTGGAACTGAACATTTAAGCCAATTCACATATGTTGATATAAATTATATAATACTAAAAAGTAAAAATGGCTTTAATAGGTACATGAAATAGAACGTAGTCATACAAATACAATACCTAGTATACAGTGGTATGTATAGGCAGTGGCGTGCAGATCCCTTTTTCCATGTGGGACAAAKCTAATTTTTTTACACCCACCACCCACCTAAAACTAAAAGTTACAAATAATATATATTTTATTAAGGGCCTCTATACAGTTATATGAAAACACAATATTTATAAATAAAATAAATAAAAAAACCCACACCCACCCCACTTTCAAGTGGGGCCTAGGTCCCATTTAGGTCTTCTCTGCAGGACACTGTGTATAGGAATTAATTTTAGTTTGGGCCAGTTTTACCACAAGTTAAAATCTATAAGGCATTGGGTGAATATTTTGATTGTGATGTGTACAATACCATAGTTAATATAGGTCTATGTACAATAAAAATACAAAATGCTTATGTAATAATTAAATTGAATAAGTATATTATATAATAGGTTATTTAGAACTTAATACATTATAGAACCTTAAATTATTATTATTATTTTTTTGTTTAAATACTAAAAAAATATATTTATATTGAATTACATTTTTCTTTATATTTAGTTGAAATATATTAATTTTTAATCACAGAGGTAATGATGGTTTACTCACTAAAATTTAAGTATTTGTTCTTTATGCCAACTGCTTAATTTGAAGAGCACTGAATTTTAAGAATACTATTGAATCTATTATAATTAATACGTACTTAAGTTATAAAAATAAATCTCTTTATTATACACTTATACACATAGAAACACATAAAAACAGTTATTTATTTAGTTGCACAGTTAATTTAATTTTGCTTCACCATAAATCTTAATGTTTAACATAAAATCTGTTAATAATTATTTGAATAAAAAGAAGTATGTACATACAATACAATATGTAAAAAGCTATAAATTAATAACCAGTGTCTATTTAGACATTTATTTACATCCAATATTCCCATGTAGAAAGTATCGGTGTCCTCAATGAGGAATATGAGAGATAGATCCTCTATCTRTTGATTTTGTTTTTATATATTTAGATACTGTATGAATCATATTAGCATATTATTATGAGCAAAATAAAAATAAATATAATAAAACTATATCATTTATTATTATTTTTCAATATACGTAACTGACTGTTCATAAATAATTTTAATAAATGCAATATTATTCTTAAGTTAAATTGTTGATGAAACTAACATATTTATTTTTATTTTATTGATTATTAAAAATGTTACCTATACATTATTTTATCAAGTTTTAATAGTTAGGTACATAGTTTTGCATATTTTTAGAATGTTTTATATTCAGTTCATATTTTGAGCTTTATTGAGCAATGTTTAGAGTATTTTTAAAGAATTTATGGATATATAAGAATCTCAACAAATTTGGGAAAAGAAACTATTATTAGGTATATTAATAATTCTTGACCACTGATAATTTTTWATACATTAGTTGTTTAAATTCCAAACAGCATAATATATTATTAAAATAATTTCAATTTTTTAAAGTTTTAATAATATTCACAAATGAACAAGTTTTCAATTTAAAATTGAATATCAAACTATTGTTTGATTAATAAATTTAAACGAATATTGTAGTTGACAATTTCCTTATATGGCGGTTCCCTACCTTTTTAGTTGTGCGGACCACTAATAATGTACAAAAAATATTGAGGCCCACTTATCTAACACCCTAACGTATAGGTAATAGGTATATAATATAAACACACACAAATAAGACAATAGAAGAAATATAGAAGTGTATAAAAATATAAAATCATATAMAAATCTCAATGTTGATTCCAATAACAATTTTCAGACCCTTGACCAGTGTTCACGGCACTGGGAACCG